TATGGAAAAATAAGAAGGGCGAGACATGAGGCGAACGCGTAACCAAGAGGGAAATGGTATTAAATATTTAACCAGTGACGGCCACTCGGTAATTTATTCCCCCATATATATAAATCCAACCCAAATCCCAAATATTGAGCTCAAAGCAAGAATATTTTATTTCTTTTCACTTTATTTGAGTTGGAACATGTAAATCCCTCCGTCGCACTTGTGCCATACGTACATTACAAAAATTAGAAAATATTCTCCACACACCGATGTGGAGAATGCGTATTTATGTACGTACGTCTGTACCCATTCGCCATTATCCAAACCAACCAGCCAAGTGTAATAATCAGTACAAAACATGAACTGCATGAAATGAGTGGTGGACGATGACGACGAACGGACGGACGGACGAATGAAGGAGGACAACGCTGCTGAATTGAATTTTGTGAATATTATTGAGTGAGGAGGGAAGAGAAGGAAAGGGTTCGTTTGTTGTTTCCAAATTTGAGAAAAAATCATCCGAACCAGAATTTTGGGTTGTTTTGATCCTAATCTCGCTCCTTTTGATACAGCGAGCAGTAGATTTTAAGCCTCAGTTACTCACTAAATTGGGACTTCGAATAATTCCAGGGGTTTTATGCCTTTGGTGCATTGTTCAAACTCTGTCCACACGAAATCTATTTTCCTTAACTACTTAAAAGGGGTAAAATGAAATGGGGGAAAGTCGTCTCGAAATATCCATATCTAAGGGTTCTCTTAAAGGGGTTGTTCTCTTAAAGAGTGGTAAGTATCTAGTAAAAGCCTGATTTTCGAACACAGCGTTTTGATCATTGATGCATAGGTGGTCATAATACATGTATACCTAAGTATATAACTAATTTCTAAAAGTCTACTAAAAATATATACCAATGTTCCAGAAATACTGACGTAAGAATCAATTTTTAACAGGAATAAGGTAAACATGCCAACATGAAATGATGACTTGTCTGGTCTTGACATTACCCAGGTTTCTGGGAAATGTATTCATGTAAATGAAAAATGTGTGAAATGCAATATCAACGGCTGCTCACACGAGAGCGTATGCATGAAAAGGGAGGGAAAGTGAGATTGGGCTTGGATTGTGTCACTTGCTTGAAAATTGAATTAAAGAAGAGTAAGTAGCCCATGAGGAGTGAAAGGAGAAAAAAATGAAGGAGTGTTCAGTTGAATAGTCACCTTTTGAATTAAGTCGGATAGTGTTGAATTGAAAATTCAGGAGGAATGTCCAACCAGTACTTATGGGGCTTAACCTGCTCAATAATGCATTATCCAGGAATTCATCTATCACGAACGGACGAATATCTCGACTTACCTTCTACGCTTTCTCTTCTTCTCCCCCTGTTTTGTCCACCCTACGATCCAAATACGTCCTATTTGTCAGGAGTACCACTGTCCACGGCAAGGGTTTGACTTGGGGTGGCAGCAGGTATTCAATATCATTTTGAGCTGTACACCTAATATTATTTGTTGTACTTGAATGTCTTTACACACATGTGAACATTTATTCGCTGATGTTGAAATTTAATTAAATTCGTCTCACCCAAGTAAATGAAAATCATAACGGAACTGATTGTAAGTCAGATAATTACAAAAACAATGACCAATAGAGAATCGGTAGCTCATTTAAAAAAGTTTTACATTTAAGCAGAATCTCAAATTTTAGATTTGTTGGTTGTACAAACACATTTCTGTAATCATAAAAGTGTCAATATGAAATGCGTAACTCGTCCGACACGAATCTAAGCAAAGGGCGAAAGCATACACATTATATTACGTATTATACAAAAGTTATAGCAATCTCAACATGGCAAGATCGTGTATTAAGGAGCTCATTGTTGGGTCTCCTACATACCATGCATTGTTCCTAATATTGCACAATTCATCAACCATGGTCATCATTTTCACAAAGCTATTTGGTCAAACACCGCAATTCCTTACAGACATGGCATCCTTCCATTGTCTCAGATTGAAGAATGATATATCACACAACAAAGTATATCGGAAACAATCGGTTTTAGACTTGAGCCATGATAGCACAAAAAACGGTCCTTAAGATTGTTCCTTTGGTTTACTTCAAGGTGTAGCATTATGTATAACCTGTCGTTCGCGAGCCGGGATGTACGAGGAGCGGATGCTTTGCTCTCGGTGGACAATGCACACATTTTGTTACTTTCTACATAGCACATACTTGCTGAAGAGCTCGGAATACTTTTTCCCAAAGTATAACATCCGATGACAGAAATGCCGTTATCTTTTGTGAATGTCCGTTTGAAAACTATTCTTTTATTCTCGATTATTCTTAGGGGCAGTTTAGTTGGCTGAGCTTCAGTTGGCGGAATCAGAGTTGTTAGAACAAGTTGGAACTTTTTCTTGTATCAAATTGAACGTCATTGACGCTGACAAATTTGATACCATTTTTCTCCCGTCTCTTCAAGTCTAGGGATCCTCGGCCGGACCCACTACGTGATACACAGAAACCAGCGACGATCGCTTCCACGTTGACCACCTCAAACTCAACAATTCTGGATTCGACATTCAAGATTCCTGAAATTCATTTTCTCCAGGAAGCACCCGACTAAAATAAATTAGAGAGAAATCCTGCTCTCCGTCTCCATCACTAATTATCCGCTGCTGATGTTGCTGCTTGCTCAGATTACTACTTTCCCCTCTAAAAACACATTACGGACGATACAATAGCAGTATTTTCCTGCAGACTAAAAACTTGCTTGTATTATACTTTTGTATTTAAATAAATAGGCACATGTACCATTGTTTAAGAGTATTGTTTGCAAAAAATAGCAACAATTAAGTCCATATCCAATATACATATAGGCAATAAACACGACTCCAGTAATATTCCAGTAATTGTCCTTCTAGTTGATACGAAACTATGTAAATCGCTCGATCTGTGTCTATTTATTGAACGGCTTTTATTAATTCAGTGAAATCGAATGCAGCACTAACTCTGCTGTTGTTAAATTGTTATTGCATTCACGACATTACAATATTGCTGGAAAGATAACTACTTGGAAGGAGGGATGGCTCCATAACCAACCACATAACCAATGGTATGGATAAACTTGGCAAATAATCCTAACGTTTTAAATCTACTAAACAAGATGAGAAAGCGTCGAGAGAAATGTAAAATTATGGTGTGGAGTTTCTCTCTTGTGGATTAAATTTAACTGCTTGGTGGCCACTGACTCCTCTTGGATTTCCTCAAATCGTCTGTGTCATTACATTGTCGTCCCATTTTACTAGTGAATCTACGTAAGTATGCACTATTCTGCGAATATGTATATTCTGCGTAGGAGGAGGAGGATCAATTCTAATATTTCCAAATTTATGGCCTCCCTCTCCTCAACCTTTCGGGTTGGATAGAACGAAATTTAAACAAATTTTAAAGGTCCATTTCCCTCCGTGGTAGGGCATACATTGTGTAATACAAGGTAGCCCAACTTTAATGCTGCGTCATTCCATCTGAATTTAGCACATGCATAAAATTTTAGTGGATTTTGACTCAACTTGATTAACTTGGCTGGTTCGAATTAGTGATTCACATCCTTCCATTCCATCCAAGGTCTGAATTGGACGAGTATTAATGTAATTAAATGGTGGCTTTTGGACGGGTTTATATGGCTCATGAACCGATTTAAATGCGAGGAGTCATTCCAACACGCTGTGGAAAGACGGAGTGAATTTGGAATTGAAAATTTGAAATTAGATTAAAGGTTGATTATGACATGTTTATGCGACAACGGATTCAATTATGTGGAAAGGCCAGGACACTTTGTCCGACGACGACGACATACACTTTCCATCTTTGCCTACTTTCCCCACCTTTCCAACATGTACGCAATCTTTCATCTTATAAATTTATAAATTGGACACTGAAGCGTAAATACATACAGCGCCAATCCTGCTGCAGTAATAATGATCAAAGAAGAAAATGGCGACTTTTTAAACGACTTTGTCCTCAATTTTGTGCACCATGCTGATGAAAATGGGAGCAAGTTATGGAAAACGGTATCGAAAGGTGCTTTGTCCCCACTCACAATTATAGCTCTGATCAATTAAGAATTAAGGATTATATACCTGGAACACTTTATCGTAAATAAATATCAGACGGAAATTGAAATAAAATGAGTTGTTTAGCTTTCTCTCCATCCTTCTGGGGTTCGATTTCTAGAGAAATTGAGTCGAGGCGGAGCCGTCCAAGGGCGAGCTGTAGGAAAATTGATGAGAAAAAGTTAAAATTTCTCGCATTCCGAATTCCCAATCACCAAATGCTCGTTTTTATGAAATAAGTTGGAACGCGGTTGGAATTTATTTATGACATTGCTTAACCTGCCAGAGTCCTCAATCTTTTCGATTGTCGCATCGTTATCAGTAGTCGCTTTCAAAGCTCAATAATACTTGTACTCACTTAGTAATTCAAACCCAAAAAAATTTTTGGTTTGTCATTGAGCTGTTGGTTGGTCGGTTGGTGTGTGGGTTGGCCAGAAGCAGTCGTCCATGTAGAAGGGAAACGAGGTAGGAATGATTATTTATATAAAGAAATGAACGCCAATGTTCGCCCGTACCTACCACCGATCCATAATTGCCTTAAATTAATTCACGCTACGAGCATCCACTTTCCCAGCTTTTTAATCCACTTCAATTTTTCAATAATTCATCCCTGTGACGTTTAATATTCCAATATTCCAATTAAATACGGCTCCATTTCGCTCCTCCATTATTCATATCTTTGCAGGATATATATGCACACGTATATACGCAGCTGGGCTCCATTTTTCCTGTAATTACGCACTTGCTTATGTATAAGGTGGAAAACAAACAAATTTATTTTGCTAACTGGATAAGTACATATAGATGCCGAGCAGCCCCGCATGATTCAATTATGCACATGGAGCATGACTTGTGAAAATATGAAATTAATAAATGCACGAATGAGTCAACAAGACGAGTGGAAATCCAGTTCTGATAAAATATCCAAATTTATCCTGTATTGTGTATTGACGTATCAACAATAATTTAACAGCAGTACTTGTAACAACTCCGAAACTGTTAAGTTTTTGTCTTCCCTTATACATTACAAATTAGTTTTGCAAATTAACTATCATACAAACAAGAATGTTTAGCTGGGTAGTGTACTCCATACAATAATAACGTAATACAATAATCATAATAATAAATACGAATATTTATACGACTCAATACTTAGACAAGACTGTTGGTTGTTTGTTGGACTAGTGTGTGTGTGGTGGTGATACAGAATATTATGGTAGGAATAATTAAGTAGAATTAGTATAATTTATAAACACATACATAAATTTCCTCTCTCTCTTGCAGTGATTAACAACAACAGATAACAATAATTATTAAAATTAGACAATTTAATGTTAAATACCGTTCAATTAAATTTATACGTCTAAATTAAACTACTACTCAACTTAAACATAGAACTTAATAGATTAACATGTTAAAAAGAACGTGATGATTTGACAATATTATGTAATCAGTTAAATGTAAATCCATCATAAATATACAATAAAATGGAAATTATACGTACAATAGTTTTTACCAAAACGCAAAATCACTGCATTATGTTCTCCAATTGCGACATAACCAATTTTTGGCATACACATGATGATGAAAGTTACCAAATCGAAATGAAATGAGAATTGCATCGCAGCAGAAATCACAACATAATTACGTATGTTCGGAATCGATGAATGGCTACGAAACCGATTTGGTCGAATGTCATGAAAGTAGGAGACCGATGTCAAAATGGAAATTGCAACATCCGAATTTAAATAAAAACCCTTACTCGACGAGGTAATACAGAACAACGAGCTTTTCGCTCCCACGGGTCCCATACTCCAATCAAACTTGCATTTAGCAATTTTGTCGTTGTTTCTAGTTTTACTATGAAATCAATCTTCTGAATTGCTGGTCATTTCGTACTCTTTCTTCCATCGACTGGAGTCATACGTACGTATGTAAGTAGTAGTTTGGTTTGTACGGGAGCGTTGTCACGCGTGATACCCTGCGATTTAATTCTCATCCCATTGATTCGATTTTCATGTGGAAGGGAAACCGCTGTAATACTAATAATGTATGTATGCATATAGTCCGAGGGAATGTTTCGTCAAGTCGAGAGTGAAATGAGAGAAAATGAGGTAAGCAAGAGCATAATAACAATAAATAATCGGAGAGAGTGAGTGAGTACATTCAATCCAACATTATTTATTTCAACGTGATCCAGCCTTACTTACAAAGTGCTTACCCTATACGCTTACCCCTATTTGTACCTGACTCCTGATAAGGTAATCGTTTAAGGCATTTCATTTGATTTGATATTCTAGACTAGAACTACGACTAACAGGCAGACTCTGTCATGTTACTTTCCTAGATTGCATTTAGTTTGGTACACTCAACAACTCAACCAAGAAGATTCAATTAAATTGCACAACAACTCAACAACAACAGCAGTTTTGGGAAACAATTACGACCAACCAACGTTCGTACAATCAGTCTAAAATGCTACGCGATGAAATACACTCTCGCTCTCTCATGGCTTCACACAACAAGGACAACGTTTTCTTATTATCTCACAACAAGCACCCCTTTGATACGACAACAATTCGAGTTGCAAAATAATGGAAATTGCAATAAGTGATGGAGAACAGCTCAATCAGTCACCCACCCACAGACAGACAGTAAATAGCAGCAGCAGCGGTAGAAATATGGATGGTCGGGGTAGCAGTTTCAAAAATTTCTATTAGCGGAAAGAGTGACATTCTTGGAAGTGAATTTCACAAAACACGACAGGGACGCATGTACTTCTGCTAATACGGGTAGTTATTATCCGTATTATTAAAATGCTTTGAATCGAATAAGCCAACAACTAATTTTGTTCCCACAGGACAAGAAGAAGGGGATTGCAACATTGGCTATTATGAAACCCGGCATTAACCATGCTTCATATTAAATGAAGCCATTTATGTTTCACAAAACTCAACATTTTCCACTTAATACTTTCGTGACTCGGGCCTTTCCCTCTTCCTGCAGGGTTTACGAAATTGACTGTAATCATTTATTTGTGGAAAGGTATTGGAAATAAAATGAGTAAATTTTCAGAAATGATGATGAATTGAGTTGGTTGAGTTAATTGATTGATTTACTGACGGTGGGTGGGTGGGTGAGTCAAATTATGATCTAATGACGGGATTCAACTCCGAATTCTTCCCTTCTACCAATGTTTCCTTCTTTTCCTTCCGGATTTTAATCAATAATACTCGTTGTACAACTAATTCTAATGCAAACTTATTTCCTCGCTGCTCCGCAACTTTCATCATAACGAGTGATTGCAACATCATGTTCATTTTGTGTAATTATTGGAATTTTCCTGGTTGGAACTTTCACGTCTGTAATTATCCACCTCCTCTCCTGGATGTGAACTACATGGTCATAATCATTCCCAGACTAACCAATCGTTGTGAATCAGGGTGCTCATGTTGTGAGAAAAAGGAAAGTTGTTATACATAAAATGACCGATTAGACGACCGTCGTGGTACGCAATATTTACCCTCAAAAATTGAATAAAAAATTAACAGAAATATTTTCACGAGGATTGTTTTGCTCCGCTTGGATTGTTTTTTTTTTTAATATATCGAATGTGTATATTTAGTGCGATGGTACATTAACAGCTTCATTCCTCCTCTCGAAAAGGAGAAAGAATGCATTTTTTCTCCAAAAAGTGGAATGGGGACAATAAGATTCTAGGCAATACTGTGATTAAAGTTCCCTTAAATACGTTTCCTAGTCTGAGGTAGATTCGTGAAGTCGTTTTCAGTAATACTTGGCAAAATGTGAAAAGTCAGTTCCATCCACTACGCGATTTTCTAACCTAACCTAGAGATTTTTATGTACTAATAATAATTGCTTGCATAGATTATCAGTTCTTTGCTTTCCATGAGGCAACCACCAACTAGCTTTCATATGTATTGTACAAAGCTAGGCCCAGAAAAGGTCAAAGTGAAGAGAGAGAGAAAGAGAGACTAGAGAGAGGGAAAGATAACGAGAGAGTGAGTGAGAGAATGAGGATTCTTGCAAAAAGTGTATTTTTTCTTCTTCACAAGGCAAAATTCATCAAGTTTATCTAAATTCAGTTTCAAAGTATAAAACGGAGAGAAAAACTGGGGGACATTTTGCACAGAAAAACAAATATTTCATTCAGAACGAGACTGTAGAACAGTGGGCATTTTTGGTTTGGGGCAGGGCGAGACTTTCCAAATCAGATTTTGTAGGTTGAGATTTAATGGAAGGAAGGAAATAATGAATGACTCCTTCAATTTAATGGAAGGAAGAGAGAAAGTGAAACGGAGACAAAGATCAATCTTAAAAAAATCCAAGGGAGAAATTAAGCCGGAACAGGCAGCGATGCGATGCGATGGACGGAAAGACAATCAATCAAGAGGAGGAAGGGACATTGCATTCACTTTCTACCTTTAAGACGAAAAAAGAGGAAAAAATGGGATTAAAAATAAAATAATTAGTTGCAACCAGACAAGATGAAGGAGTAGGTCGGCCACACCGAGCCCAAGCAGCCAGCGCAGCCAGCAACGTATTATTGGCTTTCAATTAAAAGGGTCTGGCCAGTGATTGGCAGTTTAATTGGAAAAGGTGAAAGTGAACTGGCTCCTACAGGATAAAAACCAAACATCTTTGCACTCTGTATTTATTATATATGTTTCTGGGGGAAATGTCATTTTTCTCCTCATCCTCCTCCTCCTCCTTCATTGCCTTTTATTCTCTTCACGGAGCAAAACAATCCAATCCTCGGTAATAAAAGCCTTCTGCTGCTGTTTTTTTTTACTTACTTTTAATGAAGGGGAAAAGAAAACTAACGACACGTGTGTTCGACGAGTTATTTTATAAGGTAAATTTCGACAACATTTATTAACATTAACGACTCAATAATTCTTTGTGTTTGTGTTTAAAGGCCCCAACTGCGAACCATAGTGTAGTAGTGTGCATTTTACAAGACAAGTTAAGCACTCACAGAATTTAATGACACCTCATCATCTTTTGCTAGTGACTGGCTTAATGTGGTACTTGACTTATTCATCCTTACTTTCTAAAACCTAAATACTATGACATTTACTAAGCTACTGATTTGTTTCCTGCTCACAACTACGTTTTTTGCTCATCTTTAGCTGCTGCGCATATGTAACTAATCATGTTAAATCTTAACCAAGTGAATAAGTAGCGTGTAGTGTGGTACAGACTACTCGAATAATTTAAGTTGACGGAAAACTTTTGCGGTAATTGTTAACGCATCCACCCTTTAGGAACTTTCGTCTTGCATGATTCAAGTTAACTCAAGTGCACATATTGACAACACAAAACTAGAATTGTAGATTTCGGGCCAAGGGATTTTTCTCAGAGTGGATTCAGAGACTGACAAAAGTAGGTTTTTTGCGTGTGGTGGACGGAAGCCGGGTTGCCGTATCATTTGTAATTTGTAATGTATTAAAGCACCTGGTCACAACCCGTGCTTTCTCCGCTGCCACAAAATACGGTAGCTTTGAGAGTCTCTAGTTTCTCCGATCTTTTTTCAGGGGGTACGGAAAATAACAAGAGCTACATAATCTGCATATAGCTTACTGGTGGTGGTGGTTGTGGTGGTGGCTTTACAATAAATACAACATGGACCAAATTGAAATTTTAAGCAGTGACCAGAATGTTTCTTTTTTGACTGATTTTCTTCTCGGAAACTTTTACTTGTTTCTTGTTGTTAGTAGAACAATTCCAGTCTGTGATACAATTTACCGTAATTTATAATACTGACTTGCAGAGGATGCATAAAAGGTCAACCCTAAATAACTATAGTATGCTTCTTACCCTTCTATTTTGTTTATACGGCTACTCAACATTTATATAGCACTTTTTGGTGTGTTTCTCTCTTGTCTCCGCCTTCACAAATAGTGCTCCTCATGTACTAATTAAAGTATGTTATGGAGAATAGTTATGGCATAATTTATAATTTTAAGCATGTACTGGAACCACCCTGAATAACGTTATGAATTTCCCTGGTGTTTTGGTTACTTTTTTACCACATATTCACATACACATATCTACTACTTGTATCCCACTGTCTAAGTAAATACATAGAATTGTTGTAGTAATTGTCTCCCTCTCTCAATTATTCACCTTTTTCTCGGTGACGTGTATCTCAAAAAAGTTAATACATTTGACGACTTTTTGTTATCATCTTATATCTTTGTTGAAGTAGATATCTTCATTTACATATTATTTCCTTATCAATACAATGTAAAAGTAATAGCAACTATTTCTCCCTGCTTTCTCTTTTTGCCCAACTGGTAATTGTAGTATATTTTTAGTTGTAGTTGTCCTCGTCATAATACGCCTGCAATATTCCTCATTCTGTGTTTGCCACTTTCACCTCAGTAGAAGAAGTAGTGTGCATTATCTTATGTATTTCCAGTGCAGTATGTATGTATGTACCTCTTACGTAACTTCATCCACGACTATTATGGTAAATTACGTGTGCTGTAGTAGCAAGAACAGTGGCAGCAGTATCGTAAATAGTAAATAGTGCCGCCACGAAAAGTGTGTATTACAATATTGTAAGTATGCATGTATTGTTACATATAAGATTAGTTACAATTAATGATTAGAGTTCCTTCGCCGTTGGAACGTGTGAGTAAAACTAAGTCGTCGTGTCATCGTTGGATTTCACTTATAAAAGTTAAAAGTTAAGACAGATCACTGCTAATCTCTCAAAGGCGTGCTCTCATCACAGAAATTCATTATGCAAAAGCATAATTCATTAAATTGGTTCGGATGTTGCTGTTACTTTACATATGGAAGAAAAAAGCCGGGTTGCTATATCATTTGTAATGTATTAAAGCACCTGGTCACAGCCCAAACTTTCTCCTTTGCATATCCGCCGATGCAACAACCAAACTCAAATTCAGGAACTTCCGTCTTGCATGATTCAAGTTAAGTTGTAGTTTGGAACAGAGCGAACACGCCAGTTGATTTTCCCAGTGCATTCCCGGTGTCTAAGAAATAGTTTCTACTCCTTTTTTTATCTCCTCTCCTCATTATCATCTTCGTCATCATATTTTCCCATTTTTAATTAAATAACAACTATATTAACAACTGGTTCCACTCTTCATCAAAATTCATACATATACTCCACAAAATTTCAGTTAACCAATCAGTTTTCCTATCATCTACATACATAAGTTACATCATACCCGCACAACAACAACAACAACAATACTCTTATAAAATAATGTGACCTTTACACTACTACATTATGAAACAACGACCACCTCAATGGTTCTCTCTCCTGCTCGTCACTTTTTTTTCTCCATGCATTCTTATAAACTGAATAAATCCTACGTTTCTTGGGTATATTTACAACTTGCATCACTACAAATCCATACATTCTTCTACTTGGTTTCTCCTCACCCTGGCAAATTCGGGTTGTAATAGGTCAATTGTGGCAAGACCTTGGATTTTGGATTCCCTTGAAAACAATTTAGTTTGTTCCAGGTTTACATATATTCTAAAGTAAAATTCTCCTCGTGTGCCACGACAAATACTATGTTTTTTCCTTGTCATTGGTGTAGTGCTTGTTTTTTTCGTATAGACATATTTATTTATAAGCTACCTCTACGAAGGAAGTAAGGTATAGGTTTCAGCTATTAGTTTTCTAATTTAAATCCTATTTACGTAGTTTTTTTATAATTAAAAACAAGTATTTTCTCAAAGACATGTAGTCTTGTTTCAAAAAATTGAATCAAGAAGTAAGGTTTCTGGTTGCATATTTCGGTTGGTGAATGTACTTGTACATTACGGAACTTGGTAACAATAATGCTGTACTGATTGACTGATAAATTCTTGTTTGGCAAAATATGCACAGCAAAATTTTATTATTATTACGACGACGATGAGATGAAGATGATGTCGTCGTGTGGATCCTCTTCGCAAAATATTTTCTTCCGTGAGAGGTTTTTATTGTTGTTTATTCGATGCTGAGTCTTGCGTATTTGGGTCGGAGGGGGATGTCGTGGGTGTGAGGGAAAATGAGACACGGATTGATTGACTGACCTTTTCGCGAACGGGGAGATACACCACGGAAGGGACAAACTGGTTGGAGTTCTCTTCCTCCGAGGAGGTGAGAAGGAAGCCTTGCATCAGGAATTGGCCATCTTCCTGCGCCACGCCGTGACCTTCTGGCAACTCGTCGCAGGGACCCGTTCCCCTGGAAGTCGTGTGAGGCCCCTGGCAAACACAACTCAATTATTACAAGTTTTCATACAGCTGCCATTCTCCTTTCCAAATACACATAGATACGTAATCCTAATGTGCAAATATTATTCCACGTAGTCTGTTGCATGTAACACTTTAACATGTATCTAGCCCAACTAGTTTATAGGGTTGGATGACCTTTTCAAAATATGGTGTGCTAGACGGAACAGACAGTCCAAGTAGTAGTCGAACCTCAAGATAATTACGTAGTCTGCATAATGTACTCTAAATCTTTGTGCAGGTGTGTCTGGATTAATTGATGTTTCTTAGCTCATCATAATGGATATCGTTCGAGTTTTATATAGAAATACAATACTCGCGATATATTTAATGCGCCATCCCGTACCCATTGTACTTTATATTTAGACATAGCTGTCAGCCCTTGTGAGTGCTTTGCTACAATGAACATTGCAATCGTGAAACGTTATGGATTTGAAAGTTGTGAAAGGCTCAGCTGTTTGGCGTGGTGGACGGAAATGCGAGTCGAAAAATATAATAACGATGCCTTTGGATGACCTTCGTCGTCCTTCCTTCCGCTTCACTTTTGGATGAGGGGAAGGAGAAGGAGGAGGAGATGGATAAGTAGGAAAAGGATAAGGAGAGGGGAATAAGAGGAATAAGAGGAAGAGGAAAATGTGAGGAGGACAAGTATGTGATGCAATCCAGCATTCATGAAGCTAGACTAGACTAAGGCGTCTCCCGGGTGTTGTTCACGCGGGTAGTGGTCTTACTTTACATTTTAATGGGTAACTCTATATTGTCCAATTAGCAAGATAAATAGAGTGTTAAAATATTTTATGGGCCGGATGGAGCAACCAAACAACCGCAGAGATACTTTCTCTCCCTGACTCAGACACTTTCGCCTTTCTCCTCTGGTCCTTTAATGGACCACCACCACCACCTTTGATAGGATTGGTGAGATCCTTTTCCACATCCTATTTGGACTCTTCTGCTGACTATTTGTTGCCAGGAATAAAAAAAAAGAAAACTATTTTCATTGTAATGATATGCAACTTTCCTTTTATGCAGGCTACTCAAGGCGTGTATGGATCCAATTTCTTGAAAAATGATGTGCCTACCAACAAATGATGGAATTATAATGACGTGAAAGTGGCATGTATCAGAATGCATATGGATTATGTTGGTTTGTATATATGCATCATTATCCCTGAGCAAAAGTTATTGTAAAATTCACCCAAATTTTAAATTTTAAATAAAACTGGAAAAATACTTACGCGCAAAGTGGGCCTAAAAGCCGGGTGTTGTAGTTTATTGTGAACAACTAGCATTTGATAGTTAACCGAGGTGAATTTGCATTTTCGGCATCTGAAAGTTTTCTTTAATCTTCTGGACTCTCGCTGCTGCCTCCCCACACCTCCATGAACTTTATGGACGTGAGCCAAAGCCAACTCCCTGCTTGCGAAGTGAGACTGACAGTAGGAACATCGGAAACGAAGAATTTTCTCCCGTTTTCTTGGCCTAAGGTCAGATCCCAGCAGCTCAACATCTGTCGTTTCGTCGTGGGCTCGCTTTTTCCTTGCTTCAGTTGTAAGATCTGCGGGTGGTTCGTTACTCCTATCGTCTTCTTCTTCTCGGCCCTCTTCTCCTTCCTCCTCGTTGGCACCCCTGATGTGTGCTGGACCATCGGCTGCCGTCGTGCTTGGTGTCGCATTCTTAAGTGCCCAATATAAATTATCCCCCGCGCTCCCGTTGAGTAATGGAAGAGAAAGCAATGCCCTCGGGTCGGTCGGGTCACCCCCACCAGATGAGCGGAGGAAGCCCAGGCGCCCTGCAGAATTGACACTGTTCGTCAGGTTGGCAGATGACGTTGGGGTGAAGAAAGGTGCGAGGACACCTGACATTTGATGACCAATGAGGTGTTGTTGGAAGGCATCGGGTTGTTCAAACGTGTGAAAACACATGGGACACTGAAATGCGGCTTGTCGCTCATTTCCATTTCCACTCCCACCTCCACCAGATCCATGCTGACCACTACCCGCCCCCAATCCTGTATGCGTCCTTTCATGCGCGTAGAGATAGACGAGAATGGAGGTGGTGAAAGGACAGTAGGCACACCTGTAGATTTTCGTGTTGCCCGCATCCATCTTTTGAAAAAGCATGGTCAAAGGGTCCAATAACATACCAGACTGTGGATCTTGAAGTCCAGAATTCATCATGGCTGCGTCTGATAGTGCTTGTCTGTTGGCAAGTTGACTGTGATGCTCCTTGATCAAATGAGACTTCATGGTTTCCACGTCCCCAGTGGAGAAAGTGCAAAATGCGCATTTATTCCCGTCCAGCCGATCTCTTCCCAATTTGCTACTATTATGCGACGAACCCCCACCACTCTTTGACGTTGAGAGGGAGGAGGACGAGGTGTGCGGATAACTTCCTCCTCCACCACCCCCACCTTGTTTGTTGTTTGAAGATGACGAGCTGACGGATGATGACGTCTTCTGGCTTCGTCTTAGACTCCGCTCAATGCTTTTCCACCTCTCACGACCTTCTTCCCCGTGATCTTGTTGTAAATGGGTTTTGAGCCACTTTGGACTCCGGAACCTCCTCCCGCAAAAGGGACAAACTTCAGAGTAGTGGCAAAAGTAGCGATTGGAAAGGTCGCCTGCTTCCTTGGGAAATAGTGGGAGGAGAGAATTGCTGTCGGGCTGGTTGCCCCCCTCAGATAAGGAAGGAGACGTGTTTGCCGAATTAGTGGAGAGATTGAGTCCTGTCAAAGAACCTGAACCGCCGCCAGAGTTGCTTAGAAGTTGGGGAAAGTTGGCAGCGGCTGAGGTTTGCAAACTGGCCAAGGGCCCAGGTCCTGGGGTGGATGGATTGGGAGGTGACGGCCCCTCATCCACAATCCCGTGCGTATTTTGCTTGTGTACTTTCAGGAAATATTTGGAACACAGCTCTTTGTTGCAAATGTCACAAGTGACGCCACCCAACCCTGTACTGCTTTCAATGCTGATTCCATGCATTTTTAGCATGTGGGTGCGCATGAAGTATTTATTGCACAGTTCTTTGTGACAAATAGTACAGTAACTTCGGCTGAGGGAAGGACTTGGTCTCTTTGGCCCGTCCTTATTTAGCGCATTGTTATTATTGTTGTTATTCACGCTGCTGTTGTTGCTGCTTCCTTTGGGGCAATTTGGTGTCAAAAATGTAGAAGTGCCACCCCCACCGAGACTTCCAAGCGCGGAAGAATCCCCACTTCCAAATGCTTCTGGGTTGAGGAGGCGCTCTTTTAAGGTCTCTGGAGAGATGGTAATCATCCCACCGGTGGATTCAGACTTCTTGTTCCCACCACCTCCACTCATGTCAAAGGATTCGGTTTTTATGCGAATATTTCCTCCACCACCATCCGTCGGAGTTCCACTCCGCTCCCCGGAAGAATTTATGAGGGTGTTGAGAGGAGACTCGCTTTTAATCACATACGACTCCGTTCCTCCATTGTTTGCAGAGTGAAAGTGTTGAATGTGTTGTTGGAGAAAGTAGGTGGAGTAGAATTCCTTGTTGCAAATTCCACAATGGGTTCCACCCCCACTGCTGCCTGACTGCCCCATCCCCCCGAGTGACGGGGGGAGTGAGAGATGAGTGCCTAGCGAACCTACAGACCCATCAAGAGGAGGACTCCATGCAACCGCAGAAGAAACCCGATTCAGTTCCATTATCATTGTTTGGAGCCGTCGCAAGTCGTCAGAGTCAGAAGTGGCATCTCCTCTCGCCTCGATTTCTGCAATGGACGATTTTGATTTTTTATCCTCTTTGCTCTTTGAAGCCCTGTGGTCCAGTTTCATATTATTGTCATCTGCTCCGGCTGTTGCTGCTGTTGGAGAAGACGGAGAGTTGGACTCGTCATGTTCAGAGTGAAATTCTTGTTCGTCTTGGTCAACTTCATCTGCTTCGTCTCCCTCCTCAGCGTTTGTTATATCACCTCCGCGTCTCCCTCCTCCTCGTCGTTTAGAAGAGTGATGGGATTCTTGATTCACGGCAAAAACTGCTCTCGCGTACTTGTCGGCTTCTGATTCTTCTTGGTCGTCGTTTCCTCCTCCTCCGTAATGATGGGATGAGTCAGGGTGAAAGTATGATTTGTGCATGCGAAGAAGGTACACCGTTTGGAAGGATCGGTTGCACAAAGTGCACTCAAAATCACCCTCCACACCCACAGCGGCATTTCCATTGTTATTCAGAGTCAGTGGAGTATCAGCACCACCAACGCCGCCGCCACCACCACCACCACCACTCTGGTCATCAAACAGGGCAGGGAAAGGGAAAAGAAATGGTGGGAATGTGGATGGAACGAGGAGTCGATGCTTTTTGATGAGATGGTTAATGAGGTGTTGTTTTGAGGAAAAGTCACGGAGGCAGAATTGGCAACTGTTGTCCCCTATGTTGGAGGAGGAAGCGTTATTGATGGACATTCTGTACGAGCAATTTTCATCCGCGGAATTTTCTCCCAAATTATCCGGACTTTTCTGGTCGTCTCTTGTTTCCTCCTCGGCGGAAAGTTCTCCTTCTTCTCGTCCTCCCAAGTCTCCAAAACCTCCACCACCACCCCCCACACGGTTGGCTTCCTCCACATGCTTGGCTACAATCTCGAGACCCAGACTTTCCAACCCCAACTCCCGAAGGGACAGACTTTTGTTGTCACCACCAGCACCCCCATTGGAGAAGGGTCGACTGCTGCTCTTGCCATGGTTGCTGGAACTACTGCTCCGCCCACTCCCGGTGGATGAATGACTGTCGACAGGAATTCCATGGATTTTGGCCTTGTGTCGTTTGAGAAAGTACTTGTTGCAGAACTCCTTTTGGCAGAGTTCGCAGAATGATTCACGTTGCTGAGAGCCATTGCTATTTCCGGCCCCTTTCTCTAGAGTGAATGGAGCCAACGAGAAGGGGATTTCCGATGAGATGCCTCCAGCAGTCGTCCCTTTGACTAAACTATTGGAACTTGGCCCAGAACTGGAGGAGACGGTGGTATTGCCAGCAGCAGCTCCTAGCAGGTTTGCTCCCATTACTACTCCTCCTCCTCCGCCTGGTTGTTGGCCGTGTCCAGCGAGGAGAAGGGCAGTGGAAGAATTTGCAGAACTGGTGCTGATCGTGTTGGCTGCTGCTGATGAAAGGATGGCAGCCCCAGTGAGGAATGAGGTGTTGGACGACGAGTTGGCCACAATTACTTGTCCCATCCCTAAACTTGGAGACATTTCTGTGTACACGCCGTGCTTGTTGGCTTTGTGTGTCTTGAGAAAATACTTGTTGCAAAATTCCTTGTTGCAAAGGTCACAGTAGGCCTCTGGGTTGAAAATCCGGTGTGGGGGCATGTTTTGCAGGGAGGCAGACACGTTCCCCACCATGAGCCCACTATTGGAACCGGCAGATGAGGAGGACGTGGGTGTGCCAGCAGGACCAGGGTTCTGTTGCTGTTGGTGGTGCTGCTGTTGTTGTTGGGCGAATAGGTTGAGGTTTGCGGAGAAGAGGGAGCTGAAGGAGGATGGTGCACCGAGGGGGAACAGTCCCGGGGAGAAAGACACGGGGAGAGAGGGCGAGCCGGTGGTGCTCATCCGATGTGGGGAGTCTTTGGTCCCTTGTCCCGCAAGAAGAAGTTCAGTCTTGTCATTTTCACTGAAGGAGTTGAGACGTGGAGAGTTGTTTGACATGGTGAAGGAACTTTTGGCCTCATCTTCTGACGAAGAAGAGGTCTGATCGTTGCGACCGGAGAGATTAAGAGGCACGTGGGACCTGGGCCCTTTGCTAATTCCTTCGCTCCTCTGACGGCCCTCCTCCTCCTCAACCTCCTCCCCTCCTCCTCCGTGTTGCTGCAATGGGTCGCTGCCACCAGGAACCCCACCTGTCTCGTCAGAGGGGTCAACTGGGATGCGGACGGGACGAGACTGCTTTCTCCTCTTCTTGGAGGACGCTTCCGACAAGTCCATGAAATAGGCTGCGTTGTTGTGGGCTGTGGTAGAATTGTTGTTTGTGGGAATTGAAGGGTCATCAAATCCCAGGTCTGTATTGGGGGGAGCAGTGTTTGGACAGTCAACCCCTTCTCCAGGTCCGCCACTGCCGCCACCTTTTCCTCTTTGGAGCTGAATTTGTTCTTCATGCCCACTTTCAAAACTAGAGTTGGAGTCTACTCGACAAGTTTCTTCTGGGGGAGGATTGTCCGTATGAATTAAAGTTGGTGTAGCATGGAGCCCGCCTGTTGGCCCGTTTAGTGTTGCTGTTGTTGCCATTGCCACTTTAACACACCGGCATTAACTGCGGGGACCCCCTTTGACCTTTGACCAGGTCAGTGTGGGTCTCGATACTGTGGGTCTCGATACTCGATCAAAAAGTAGTCCTGAAAATAACACAAAAACATATTTCTTTCTCCAGCAAACATCCACATTTACACTCTTTCATAAGGCATCATGCAATAATGTATGCTTTCCTTAATGCATATTTTTTAGGTGGTATCGAGTCTCGGCTTAAATTTGCTTTCTCAGTTCGTCATCCGCATCAGAAAAACAAACAAAACATTGCAGCATTTCATTATTGGGTGAAGCGCACCCAGCCCAACTACCCAACCAGCGAAGGAAGAAAGAACCAAATATGATGGGTGGTGGATGTGAATGATTCATTGAACCTGACGATAAGCACATATACGTACGAACGTAGGTACCCATCTGTTAGACAGATAAGCAGTTTGATCTTTTGACTTTCTCCACCAAGAAGGCGGCGTGCAAGTTGGTAGGTTGGTTGGGGAACATTTGTCGATTTACATGGAAGCAGTAAAGATAAAGATAAGCATTTAGTGCGAGTTGTTATGGGTTTTTATGTTTTTATCCTTCCCCATCCATGATTGATAAGATATGAGTTTACAGTCTTCACTCTTTTCAGTTTAGAGACAGACACACACACACGAGACGAGTGAGAGTGAGGAGGAAAGCACGAGATTCAAGAAGAGTGGTGGATGTATGTATGTAGTTGGTTTGTTGGTTGGAAGTAGTTGGGATTGGATTAAAGGAGGACGACAGCCAGAATTGGATTACTCACTTGGTCTCCACCATCACCACCACCACCGCCAGCAGAACTGAGATGGATCGGATTTCGGAGCCAGTGGCAGTTTACTTGATAGTGGCTGACTTTCTCTACTCGATGGATGAAAGTTTTACAACATCACAACTGAACATTCAACACTGAACATACAAACTACTACAAACATATTGATCCATCTTCGCACAGCTCTAGGACGACTAAGTCGGCAGGCTGTTCATGACTCCAGTCATCCGTCTACTTCTTCTTCTCCAACCATCAACCCCTCGCCCGATCCCAAGCACAAAAATCTCGTAATAAAACATTCTGAATATTTAATTACAAATCCCTTGATTTTAATCTTTCTTTTACGTTGATGGCTGCTTTCGAGCTCTCGATAAACGTGTAATAAGGCATTTAAATTTTTATAGTTTATTCATGAATCCGAGAGGAGAGAGAGAGTGAGAGAGAGAGAGAAAAAAGGGAGAGAAAGTGCACACAATACAATTACTTACTAGTCGCTACCTATGTAGCGACTATGTTCTGCCAATACGCCGTAATGTGGCACTTGTCTCTTGTTCTTTATTTTGCTTTCCACTTTGAACAAAATACGTGTTTTCCCCAGACTCGAACAAGACTTTCTTTCTTTCCTGTTTTGTTTGATTCTTGGCTTCTGGTTTCCCTTCAACGAGACTGGTCGTCGTGGTCGTGGTCGTGAGTGGAGTATGAACCTCCTTTCGACCACGACCACAACGACGACGAAATGTCGAGCTAATTGAACTTTGTCGTATACATAGTTGTGGTGGTGGTGGTGGTGGCGGTGGTGCAAGTCGTGGTGGGTCGAACATAGTAAAAATCTTGAGTAATATTGTCATGCCACAAATTATTTCAAAAACACTCAATTCCAGACTCCATTTGCCACTTTAATAAATTAACCGGCTTTAATTTCCTCCAAATTGCAGGAGCCCGGCCTATTTATTCAGTGATGCCTACTGCCAACTATTACTCTTGTTATACCTTCCTGAGGATAATTTATGGCTGTGGCTTGATTCATAGATAATAGAAGAGAAGAAAGAAAGGACACGTAGTTGTAGCTCTCTCAATCTCATAGAAGAACATACTCTCTCGCTCACCCAGTACAATCCCCTTTTACATTGTACTCCATAATTTATGACTAACCCATTTAATTGCAACGAGTTTGATGCTCTGCTCTTTCCAACCTGAGCAGCAACTCCCTACCACCACATTTTATGCAAGTTTGAATATTTATTACAAAAAATTGCTGAACCTCCTTCCTCTCGTTTGATCTCTATCCAGCTGCCGAGCACAAACTTATTTTCATTCGATTTCATCCATTCTAATTTTACTTATTTTCCTTCAATTCTCATGCACCAGCGGAACACAATGCAGCTCTCAAGTCGCAGAGCTGCAGAAGGGCAGAAACCAATTAGGGCTTGCAATTGGTAATTAAAATAAACATTTCTCTCGTCCTTTTCCCAATTCCAAAAAATATAAACTCAATCTTGATCATTCTCTGGAACGGAAAGTTTTCCATGTTAAACTTTAGCGTGCTTTTGTAAAGAACAAAAATGCACCCTGCTAGCCAACAAGCAGGACAGAAAGGAGACAATGGAGAAAGTGACGTAAATCTGCAGAAAAAACAGCGTGCCCAATCCAAATACGTACGTACATGCTGCATGTTGTACATATGCATGTATATCCATAAGTCTTTTCTATACGTACTTATGTACTCTCTCTTTTATTAACATTTCCAGAGGCCGATCACACACCATGGAATATTTTATGCTTTCCCTTTAAGAATATTGGAAGAAGAAGCGAAACACAAGGCTCGCTTTTTATTTTAAATTAACTTTCCAGCCATAAATTATTAGCGAAGGTGCATGTTTTAATATGAATGCATGCACGTGCCCTCCCTCTATTAGCAAGTAATTAGTAGCAGCTACAAAGTACAAGTATTGACTACTTTTTTACATTATTAACTAGGCTGTGGGTTTCGCTTGGCATTAAAATACGAGTTGCTTTAAACACTGGCACGCATGACATATAATGACATCAGCCAACTCTGCATAGCATTTGCCTCTCTGACATTACATACAAACAACAGTCACGACATCATTATCGTGTACTTCACCCCGATAAGGCTTCAGTGGAACATTTAAAACTTCAAATGTTTTTAATCATTAATGTTCATTCATTCACTACACGAATTAACGTTCCTTGGTCAATTTAATAATTTCATTACGTTACATTTTTTTCAGTGAGTCTGCGACTGCCAAAAGCACGTTAGAACGGCCCTTTAATGAAATGAAATGACTCGAATTTGATAATAATGGTGGAAAGAAAGTGACTCTGGTAAGAAGGAAATTTGATCCTACTTAGCGAGTAGTTTTGCAATAATGAGAATAATAATAATAATAAATCTGACGTATTATTGTGGTATTGTTATAAATGGAGTAAAAGTAAAAGTTTGTAGTGGGATAAGTTTGTGTTTGGATGTGGGTGGAGGTGGAGGTGGTGGTGGTGATACGATATTAGTTTAGTCTGTGGTGGAGTGAGAGCAGAGAGAGTTTTAGAGTTTTGGAGAAGTTAAGTATTAAAGTAAAAGTAAAAATTTATTCCGGGTTGCTTTGCTTGCTTGGTTCGGATGAACACGTGAGAATCGATAATACCGATGTTTTTTACACACTTGGTTCTGACTCTGCTGGTCCTTCCCATCCAAATCTAGGTGCTCGGCCCATCCAAACCTGCACTAACTAACTAACAACTTTAATACACTTTAGACTCCACTTTTTACACCAAACCATCATCCTCCAAGTATAAGCCTGCTTTCTTTCTTTCTCTCTCTTTTCCCTCAACTGCTACCACTATCGCATTGATGTGGTGCTAATGCCAACTGCTCTGTGTGGAGTGTAAGCCATGCAGAAAGAAACAGAGGCCTTTTTTCCCTCTCTCTCTCTCTCTCTTTTCCAACCTATGCCAAACATTCACTTCCTCTCTCCACAGTTTTATGCGCTTTACACTATTTTGCACCACTTTATAGCTTTTTACAGGCTTCACTTTTACAATGCAGAGTGCCCTGGAGATTTGCAGGGTGATTGTGACAAAAACTATAATATTGTTCAAACACAAGAGTCGACCCAGCAAAAGTCACGCCTTGTATTTTCATGCATCCAGAAATATTTTAATTTAAGAAAATGATTTATTCAAATACGTTTTCATTCAAGTTTCATGGTTTGTTTTCTAAACTATGAGTCTCGCAGATACGATTTCGGCAAATTATAAAAGATTTCAATCTCGTACGTATTATATTGCGCTGTTATTTATAATTGTGTAAGAGAAAAAAACGTATGTCTGTGGGTACGAATTATTAAGTAAAATATTACGAAAATGTGGAAAGGTGAATTGTCGACATTGGATCCTTTCTTCAGTCTGACTGAAATTATAAGTCACATGAGGCAATAACGTTTATATTTAAATTTGAAAGTCGGAATCTTTACAAGTGCTCTTACTTGCAAGGATTCTCCGCAAAATGCTTATCCTATTAAAACTTGTAAATAAATATTTCCTTCTGACTACAAATTTTCTTTACTATTTTTATGGCTTTGCTCACATTATTAGCGTGGACCTGTATGTTCCAGTACCTTTTCCCCATCAGTAATAAAATCATATTAAGTCCTCAATATAATTGGGAGAAGTCTGCTTTTGTCGTAAATTTTAGATAGTCAATGTTTCTACATATTGTTCTTCAATATGTTTAAATTATGTCAAGACTTTTGACTTTAGCTCGGTGTCTACACATGTTAGATCTTAAACATATGATCCTTCCGATTATTATTATGAAATAAAATTCTTATCAGGCTGAATATATTTTACACTTATGAAAGGGGATCGTCGTTATTAAGGGCACCATATCATAGGTGACGACCACTGTCCATACCACGATTTCAAGTGTGGTCGCAACAACCAGTACAGATTCCTAGGGCATCAAGCTATAAAAAATTTGCTAAAAAGACGTAAAGCTGCAGTGCTTTGGTGGGAGACAGAATTAAGAATATTAGTCTATAGCCTCATCTTCAACGATGAAGGACAACCTGATTAAATGACTTTGTCGGGATAACGGCCCTCCGGGTGAAAGAAGAAGGTACGATTTTATTAATTTTACTTTATAGATATATCTCCTCCTTTCTCCAAACTGTATGCACGAGTATATGCGCACAGCAACTGTGTAACATGCCCTCTATGCCTAACTCAGGGTGAAACTTGAAAGTTGTTCCAAAACTATGAAATTTGTGAAACTTTGCCCAT